ACACACACACACACACACACACACACACACACACACACACATATACACATAAAAAGTTCATTTCTCTGTTTTTTATAGTCATATGCCGAGACAAATTCAGACACATCAATAGACATAAAGAAAAAAAAAGATACAAGAATATCGATGGTCCCAGAATATGGAAACAGTAACCTTTAAAAAGACGTTAGCTACTTATCCTTCTCTTCTTCCCCTTTTCCTTTCCTTTTTCCCCCCCTTATTGACCATTTATTGTCTCATTTTCTAATGAAGGAGCAAACGAGAAACAAACATGTTCCATTCTCTCTTTTCGATTTCGGCCTCTTTTTCTCAGCAAGCCTTTCATAATGTACAATAGTTTATGATTTCTGTAAAACCTGTTGATCAAAATAGTTTTTAAAAAAGTTCATCGAGATCCGCTATGTAAATAACGTTGAAAACTGGAGAAAAAAGACTATCTACTACAATCGGAACTATGAGTGCACAAAAGCTAGCATTTTAATTCACCACTCCACATGATGATTTCCAGGAGAAGCTTGGATAATTTGAGCACACAAACATAAAAACTACTGCAGACAAAAACAAAAGAAGCAAGCCAGATAAACAAGCTGCATTATCACTAGCTTATGCAAATGATGCGTGCTCTCCGACCGCAAACCAAATAAAAGTTGGAGGAAATGAATTCTATCGCCCCGTCCTTCCGTGCCGTGTGGGAGCTGAAACAAGGCAAACCTCGCGGGCGCTAGAGGGGGAATTGGTTTTGTCTGCTTAATGCTCAAACGCCACATTCAAGAACTCTCGATTTAGGGTAAATTTGCATCCACCTGATCAAGAAATGGGTTTGGTGTCGCGTGCAAGAGGAGAAGCAACTACGAGACAGCATATAAAAAAGCATTATTCAGACGAGTTGCTCTAACTGATCTAGAAGTGCCAAATAACCATGAGATTGTCCTAGAACGGTGTAAAGAGGGGCGGCTGTAAAAGGACTTTTAAAGACACAGAAAAAGAACGATAAAGGTAGAAAGATAGATGAATAGATAGATAGATAGATAGATAGATAGATAGATAGATAGATAGATAGATAGATAGATAGATAGATAGAGAGAGAGAGAGAGAGAGAGAGAGAGAGAGAGAGAGAGAGAGAGAGAGAGAGAGAGCGGGAGAGAAATGCTGGTCTGAGATTAGAATTATGCCGCCTGTAGCATAAAGGCATTCACAGTACATACATCAAAAAGAAATAAGCGGCGGTTCTAGCAGGCGCCCAAAAATAGGGCCTTCTGACCAAAGGCTAAAGGGGGCATTACACGTTCAGTGAAAACTGACAGCTGTCTAACCTCTTTACCTTCTAAGAAAATAGTACAGGTGTGACCTTTAAAATCAATAAAGAAAGAGCCATCCGTGAATCATTTTGTTAATTTTGATACCCCACCCAAAAAAAAAACAACAACAACAACAAAATTAAAATTAAAAATTAAACAAATGAAATAAAAATAAATTTTAAAAGTATTTAAAAAAAATTCAAATTATGCCAGCCAAGCAGACAGAAGAATGCTACAGGCTGAGGACGACGACCTAGGAATGTTGGTCAACTGATTATAGGAGACATTAACACGTGCAATTCTATTTTTAATACCTGCGTGAAAGGGGAAATATGGTTTTGTTAAAAAGGGGAAATATACATTTGATAAAAGTTTATCGCACAGGCATTATTATAATCCATTAGCATAGACTCACAGATTAAAATAAACGATGGAATATAAACAGGACTATCACCTTGCATGAATACGTGACCGGGTAAGTTATCAGACAATGTGATGAAGAGTGAGAGGGAACTATGCGTGCATATCTGTGTGTGTGTGTGTGTGTGTGTGTGTGTGTGAGTGTGTGTGTGTGTGTGCCTGTTTGAAGAGAAAGAGAAGCTGAGAGTTAAGAAAAGAAAGAAAGAAAGAGAGAGAGAGAGAGAGAGAGAGAGAGAGAGAGAGAGACACAGAGACAGAGACATAGTCATGAACAGAGAAACAGGGGACACATGGACACACAGAGAGAGAGAGAGAAAGAGAGAGAGAGAGAGAGAGAGAGAGAGAGTAGAGAGTAGAGAGAGAGAGGGGGAGAGAGTAGAGAGTAGAGAGAGAGGGGGGAGAGTAAAAGAGAGCACTTTGGGTTATGGGGGCGGCTGCAGGAGAGCGGTCCTCATAAAATCACATAGGAGGAGGATCAAAAGTCTTTTTTTATTTCTTTTCATAGGTGACAGTGATACATAAAGGTCAGGACTGTATTTCATTGTGAAAAACGTCCAATCCTTCAGGGGAACAAAGATGGTAGAAAAAAAATGTTCCCCTTGGACTTGACCTTTCACGAGCCTGAGTGGGGCCTACCAAAAAGAAAACCAAAATACACACAAAAAACCCCAAACCCCCCAAAAACTCAGAAACCAAAAAAAAAAACAAAAAAAAAAACAAACCGTCCTGGTATTTGAGCGTATTACTACGCCGACTCAAAGCCGCCATCCTATTTCTGTAAAACAATTTTTTGCTGGTGCATAAAGAAGTTGGTGACCGAGGAGCACTGTGATATGAAGGCCATGTGTTAGATACTTGCAAGTCACTCACAAAGAGGGGTAATCGATACTGGAGTGTCTCTTAATTCAGGTCCCAACGTGTTCAGCTGACCGTCGACAAGGGAGACTAATACTGAACGAGGAGACTAATAAGTAGGTTATCCTTCTATTCCACTCGGTTTCTCTCTCTCTCTCACTCTCTCT